AAGCAATGCTAAGGACTGAAGAAGGCAAAGAAAGAACAAGTTCCAGTTTTATTTCACTCTATGCATGTCTTGCCTCAAACACAGCAGGAATCAGACACCAAAGGCAGCGTTGTTTCTGCAACAGTAAAATGAGGACATTTCCTTCAATACATATCTTACCAGAGGTGTCCAGGTCTTTGTGACATTAGACTGTTAAAACACACAGCATGTGAGGCTGCCTCTCAGAACCAGCCAGGAAAATTGGCACATACCACTGTGGCTACATTAGGGCTGCAGGGATTCAGTGCTGTACTGAATTGGAGCATAGGCATAACAAGTTTCAAAAGTTGCCGGAGCATTCCCAGCCTAATGAGTTGCATTAATTCCATTAGTGTGGCTCTTTTAGCACACCTGGCTTTAATTGGGCTCTTGATTGGTATGCCCGAACTCGTTAGCTTCCACTGATTGACAAACAGCTAGAGGAAACAAAGCTGCACTGAAAGTGGTTTTGGGACAGAAGGGGAGAGGGCAGAACAAGTGTGGTCTCCTCAGGGATTTGGAGTCAAGTAACAGTTATGGAGGAGGTGGCCACTGTTTGTTGTGACAGAGGATCTGAATAATTCTTTATCTGTTTGTATGAACTTAGCAAGAGACTTCAGTGCTTCGGTTGCACTTTGCTTTCAGCTCTGCAGTACAGCTGTCAAGTTTTGTGTTAACCTTATGATGTTGGTAGATCATGCTCTCTGTGTGCAGTTCTGCAGCAGGAAACAGTTGTGGTGTGTAATGAAGTGCTTTGAGGAAATACTCTTTCTCTGGTAGTCTTTAAATAAATTAATTTCTCTTTGACAGGAATTATCTACTTAAAGTAACTTGTTAGCAAAGGCAACAAGGTGAAAACATAACAAAGCTCTTATACTACTGTGAATTTGGTTTTATTTTAATTGAAACCAATTGATTTGGATCTAGTATAGCAAGAGGCCAGACCCACTTCTTTTCTGTCCCAGCTATAATTCTTGACAAATCTTGTGCTGTGTCTTGAAGAGAAATAAGTGTTACAGCGGATAATATCTCCAATGAGAATATAGTTGCAGGAAAATTTAATAAGCAATTCTGATTTGAAGAGCATGATGGGTTCCAAATTATTCTCTTACTCAAAATTATTTTTAAATTAGTTGGTTATCCTTCTCTCCTTGGAGAGAAATAACTGTATTAATAACTTTCATATCATTTTTGCTCTCAGATAGGCAAATACATTTATATGTACAAAATATACACATAAAATAGGAAACTGAAATGTGACCAAGGCTATTGCTTCCAGAGGTGCCTGTTAGCTACCTGCTGAAGTGTGTTGTATTCAAGTATTCTGTGTGCACTGTGCCCTAAAAAAAAAAAAAAAAACAATCATCTTGGATGAATTGAGAATAAAAAACCCCAAACGCTTGTGGAAGCCCGAAACATTGAGTGAATTGTCTGTGGGATCTGGAGCAGAGAAGAGGCTGAACCTCTGTTCATCTTCTTGCTGACCTGCTTGACATTTCCCCTTGAGACAAACAAGGTTTTCCATGCCAAATGATTAAAACAAGGAGGAAAGTGGATTCTCTGTGGTGCAGTTGTAAATGAAGTTGTCTTCTGGGGCTGCAATGTTAAGCATTGATCCTCTTTTAAGGGAGGGATGAGTTCTCTCAGCCTTGGTGATGGCTGGGAGGCTGAGTACCTCGAGACACGGTAACTGTGTCAGTTTGCTGCTTTCCCTCTGTACCTTCTCCTTTGGGCTCTGTTGTGCTGGAAGTGCTCAAAGCCCAGTTCTAAACACTCTGACTTAGGTCAAACAGCTTCCTTTACTGGCTTGTGGGGGAACAGCAACAGTTAATGTGCCTCCCCTGCCTGAGCTCTGTGAAGCAATGAGAGGAACATCCAGCACCTCCTTTCCCTGTTTGTCTCGCTCCTGCATCTGTCAGGGCAGGTGCCAAAGTAAACTGGTCAAGTCATGGAGTGCTTTGGCTAAAACAGAGACTCAGAGCCCAGCCAAAGAGGCAATTCTGCCCTGGGAAGATTTTGACAATTAGAAGGATCCTGTGTTTTGAGGAGAGGCCTGGAGCTGGTGGGACTGGGCTCTGTGATTCCCCCATGAATCAGAGGGGTGGTGAGATGGTGGCTCCATGTCACCAGGGCTCTGAATAGGGGCAACTCCATAGTTTTATTGCAACTTGCATACATTGCAAACATTTCTTCAGTGGCTTTAGACATGATCTGCTGGATGTCTATTGCTTTACCTTGTGTTTCAAAATTACCTCAATGTATTGCTTAATTACTAAACATTATGGTGGGGCTCAAAATTGGGTTACAGCACAAAAATAAATCTGACCTGACTTCAAAATGGTTCATGTCAATCTGTTTTAGAGAAGTTAATCAGAGAAACTGATATTCCTGCTGGTTCTGACAACTGGCTGACTCCAGTTTTAGCTAAACTCAGGGGAGTGAGTCATTAGGAGGACCCTACACCTAATGCTCATGCAGCTCCTGGGAAATCAAATGAAATTTAATATTTTCCCTAAAACTACTACCTGAGTGACATGGCCTTTTTCAGTGAGAAGATGGTTTGCTACTTATTAGGGGTGCTGCAGCAACAGTCTGGCCACCACTTGTGCTGGGTGATACTGTCTTCCCTCTGTGCCAAGGATTCAAGATTGACTTCCTGATGCTTTTACATTATGCAAAAAGCACACTGCAGTTTATCAGCAGTCCTTAATAGAGATCCACTGGGAGTACTGGCTGTGAAAAAGCACTGAAGCCATGGAGAAGTGTAAAGAACATGGGTCAGTGCTTGAGACCATCTGCAATAAATAAAATGTGAAAACAGAATTTTGAGTATGGGGAAGAAGGTAAAAGTAACCCAGGCTTGCTGTGTGTTTTAGATTGGTCATATGACTTGTGTGTTCTACAGTTTCATGTATATACCTGTCATAAAGCAAATCAATTCCAATCAGTTTCACCCTTAAATAAACCACAGCTTGACCCAAGGAAGCATGCACACAACATTAGTTTCTAATAGAAATTTTCAGGCTTTGAAAAGGTGCTAATGCAAACTTTCCTGCATACCAGCAGAAGAGTTAACTAAGAGCAAAGTGAAGGAGCAAAATTCCCATGAATTGAATTTATCTGAGGTTTTAAAATTGGCACAGAGCAGAATGTGAACTGAAAATCTATGACTTCCTTGGTATGCATAATGTAAATGAGATATGTGCTTTCCTTGTTTAAGTTGGATTTTCATTTTAAGATTAGGGCAAAAATCTTATTGGACACAAAACATGAATGGGTACAAGGCTATTAAGATTCAGGTGATAAGCATTGTTTGATAGGAAAACTTGCATCAGATTTATATCCGTTTTCTGGTGTTTGATTTAAAAACTTTGGGAGGCTAAGCACTAGATTTCATTTCTAGGACAAGAACACCTTTCCAATATTTAAAAGATTTGCCTTAAAAAGAAGTACTGGACGAGGAGGGCCAGCTGTCCAAAACTCCCTCTCCTTCTTGCAGGAAAGCTGTGCACTTTCAGGAGATGAAAGGGAAATTGGGGGTAAGAGAGCACAGAACCTGTCCTGCTCTACCTGGGATTTGCCCCTCAAGGTTCTGCAGAGCCTCTTAAACCTTTAACCTGACAGGATAGTGGAGGAAACTTTCCTGTGAGTATTTTCTTTCCACTCTGTGAATCTAGTGGTGCTATGATCTAAAAGTTTTGAGGCTGAGGCATGTATTCTTTGTATGGGACTGTAGCTGTGAATGCTGAAGTAGAGAAATACCAAGGCAAAACATAACTTGGCAAAAGTGGGAAGTTCAAAGCAGAGTTTTGTATGCTCTGTTTCTGTTTTTCCAGATTTGAGGGTTTCATTGTGTTGCCATTGCTAGACTCCTTGCTACAGAAGGGAGCCCTGCTGTGCTTCTGGTGCCCAGAACTAAATGCAATAGGTAAAATCATCTGTTTCCATGTTGAAACTTGGAGCAGACAAGAAGAGAGCAGAGTGCTCTGTGAGGTGTTTTGGGTCAGGCAGGAAATTAATCTTTCCTATTTTGTCATAGCAAACAGGGTAGATCCACACCTAACAGGACTTGGCAGGTGGTGGAGAAAGGTGCTTGGATGGATTTAAAATGTGATTGAATAGCTCTGGATTGTGTAGGAGTGCTGCTTCCTACTCCTGTTTTTTCTGGAATTTGGGTGCATATGTCTAGTTAGCCTTAAAAAAGGAAAGTAAATCTTTGGTCACAATTTGCTTATGACTTGGTGTTCTCTGTAGACTTGCCTTACAACTACACCTGGAAGTCTGTTGCAGGCAGAAAGATGTCTAAAGAATGGTTTGGGTTGGAAGGAACCTTTAGAGGTCATCTAGTCCAGCCCTCCTGCCAAGAGAAGGGACACCCTCCACTAAACCAGGTTTCTCAAAGCCTTGTCCAACCTGGCATAAAACACTTCCAAAGATGGTGCATCTGCAAGTTCTCTGAGCAACCTGTTCCAGTGTCTCACTGGCCTCATATTAAAGAATTTCTCCCTTGTGTCTAATTTGAATGTAGCCTCTTTTATTTTAAAACCTTTACGCCTTGACTTATCACTGCCTTCCCTGGTAAAACATCTCTCTCTATCCACACTGCTCCCCTTTCTGTGTCACCTCCTTTGGTGAAAATTAGAAAGAGCAACCCTACAGTTTCAATGCAGCAGGGTAGAGTTGTTTCTCAGAAATTATTTTCAAGTCCTCTAGCCTCAACCCTGAAGTGCTGTAGTCTGTGCTAGGCAGGGTGTCATTAGAAGAGGCCTTCAATTATACTTTATGGGTAGCTGGTAGATCTTGCAGTCCATAGGTTGGTCTCCAGGAAGCCATAGAGGACAAAAGTTAATCATGTAAGACATTATAGAAAACAGAGCATTCAGAAAGATTTTCAAATAGCTTTTCATTTTTTCCCCCTGGTTTTTGGAATTTTAATTCTTTTGGTTTTCATCCTTAATGAAGACAAGAAGTCACATGAATTTCTGATGCTTTATATGATTTTATTTTAGCTTTAAGATACAGGTGTGCACAGATTGTGGAATATGCCCCTTGGCACTGAAACATGACAAGAGAAGAACACAGATTAGCAGCTACCAAGGATGCTTTAAAATGTCACCTTTAATGTCTGACCTTCATGAAGGAACAGGTCAGTTCATGTGACAGTTTGTTCATGGTGAAGCATAAGGCAGAGAAACTAAGGGAGATTTTTGTGAGTAGATACTCAGTTTCATTATATGTTGGGTTTTAGGAGTAGATTTCACTTAACAGTTGCGTTTTTAGTGGTTTTGAATTTGTGAGAGAACCATCAGAACAATAAAAGGAAATATTCCCCCAATCCATCATTCTTCTGTTACCCCACCCATGAGTGGACTGGGCATTCTTTTGAGTGATCATCTTTCTCCACTACTTTATAAGAGCAAGTGTCCTTGCTGAAAATGCGTTCACATTTCTCTTCATCATAGCCGACTGGTGTCATATAGCTGTGGTTGGGAAAAGAAAAAGAGGCGATGAGACCAAGAAATAAGCAGCATGCACTTCAGGTGGTATCTGCACCTTTGGTATGACGAGTCTGTACTGAGGAGACTCAGTTTTGGGAGCAGAAAAGGGAACTTGCCCAAAGGTCCTAGCTCAAATATTTGTTACTTGGCCTGCAGTGTAATAAGGATGAAGGGAGAGTTTTAATTTTTCTGGTCAACACCCAAGGGATGTTTGTTGTGCTCATTTGCTATTCCAATATCACTGCTTCTTCTCTTCATCCACAGTATGGAACAAATATTGCATGAGTGGTTGGGTATCACTATGGAAAACATTACAGCCAAGGTACCTTGAGCTGCTTCTCAGAGGAAAGTGAGGCAATGTGTGGCTTTGGGAAGCTCTGGACTAGGATCAGTAGAAATTTCTTAGAATGTTCTCTCATGAATCAGTAACTTGCCTGATGTTTTAGCCCTGAGAAGAATTAAATTCTCCATTTATTTTAAATAAAGAATTATTTGTTAAATACAACCTCTAATTTTCAGAGGAATTTCTTGCATGTTCAGTGAGAATGGTGTTGGATTTATGCATAACTTTGTCATAGGAAATGGGTGGGAGAAGGATTATTGTTATTTCTCAGGAACAACTGTGCAAAGGGAAGTGGTTTGTGCTGTGTCATGGCATCAGAGGGAAAACCCCACTGCTGCTCTGAACTCACCTGGTGCAGCAGCCAATTCCAGTCTTGGAACAGGAGCAGTCGTTGCAGTCCTCGGTCCTCCATCTGGAATCAAATTCGTGGACCTTTCCTTCCCCATCAAGGCAGCCTGAAAATGCAGAGTATAAGCAGCCTTCAGTGTCAGACCATTGCACTGACTGCTGGATGTACAAAATGGGTGGGATCTTTGCTGGCTTTGTGCATTAACACCCCATATGCCAAACACAGAGGTTCCCCAACAGAGCAGGGTGTGCTACCCTAATGCATGCAGAAGAGAGACCTATGTCCTTCTGTCTCCTGAGGTTCTTAACAGCATGGGGTTTCCTGGTGCAGTTCATCTTCAAGTATGGAATTTGAAGAACTCAGCAGAAAGACAACTAGACACAGACCTGGTCAGAATTAAAAAAGGCTTTGACTTTCCTATTAACATCATCTCTTGTTGTCTCCTCCTTTAAAGCAAGACTACATCTGGTCAAAAAACTTTTCCCAGTCCTCAGCTGCAAGAAGAATGCAAATTTTGGATGTAAAGTTCCTATTCAGCAGTCACAGAATAGACCATAGGCCTCCTAAATAACTGATCTGGGAAGCAGAATTTTGAGAACAGAACAAGAAAGAGTGCTGGGGCTTCTGGGTTGTGTCTTCACCTATCAATGTTCTTTTCTTTGGCAATGTTAACTCATTTCTTCAAGTAATAGCAACAGCTTTCCCAGGTAAAACTGTATTTTAGACCACTTAGGGGGTTTTTGCATATTGGTACACATCAACTCCTGTTGTGTCAAAAAAAATTGCATGCTTCTCTTTTGGGAATTTTTTTTTCCTGCAGCTCCACTCATCTGTAGAGTGACAGACTAGCTGTGTTCAGGAAGGGCAGATGCAGACTCAAGGGATGCAGCCATTCTGCTTTTAGGAATTTGTTTTGGGATACAGAAACAAGACGTGAGTAAATTGTGTGGTGCTGAATACTGGTAAATCTGTTTCCTGTTTTACACTGGCTACACACACTTACACTTCTCCTTTCTCTGATTTCTAGATGTGATTCCATGGTAAAAAATATGACTTACTACTTCATGCAGATGAGTAAACTAAAACTGTGTACTTCCCTGGGAAAAGATCATTAGTAATTTGGTCTGTGTGAAGCTCTCCAGATAACTTGTTCTTTTAATAACATATTATATTATATTGCTCACCATACCCCATTTCCCTCCCATTTCCCTTTGATTCCTCTCCACTGTTTCCACTTATTTCTAAATTGTGATGAATTGCACAGAAAGGACAAATCAAGCAGTGATTCTGATGATGTCTGTCAGGTTGAGGGCAGTTCTTACCTACAACCACACCATTAGACATCCCTGGCTTGAATGGCATGTAGAAACAAGAAGCATCAGACAGTGGCATGCTGATGGCAAGAGCAAGAAGGCAGGCCATGATGGTGTTCTGAACAAGAAAACAGAATACATATCAATCCTTCAGTAGCTATTAAGATGTCTTGATGATAAATAACAAGAAATACGTTGTGGTTTCAAATTAAAATCCAATTGTCTTTTGCAGTTTAGACACTTTAACACACTTATCAGGAATACGGAACCTTTTGAAGAAGCAGAGGCAGAGCATCAGATGGGAGCAGAGAAAATGTCTGTCTTTCCAAGTTGTCTTTCCAATCAAGCATTGACTGCTAGACCCAGCTACTGTTTGTGAAAAATGTGTGTTTTATTCCTTTGCATTACCCATTAAATTTCCTAGTCCTTTTTTTATCTATAGGCTCAGTCATCAACTGTTTTTTCCACTAATCTCACAGTTGCAAAAACTTCTTTATTGCAGTCTGTAGAACTACAGAACGTTTCATCCTAATATTGAAAGATTAGGAACAAGTGAAATAACTTTAGCTGAAGTTGAACACTCAGGTCTTGGCCCTGTACCTTACTTGCAAGTGTCACTTACAACCTAGGTAATTCTATATTCTGTGACCTTTGTAAATGAGTTGTTTTTTTTTTTTGAAAAATCAGCTGGAGTTTCAATATTAGTTTGAAATGTTTGAAGGGCAAGAGAATAAATGTTTATTCCGGCTAGACCAGGAATAAACAATCACATACACATGCTGTAACTGTGTTGTTTCAGACAGAATAGAACTGGTGACTTATGAAAAGAAGTCACTACTGAGAGATGAGAGGAGGAAAATTTAGTGTTTCATTTTGCAGAAGAGAGGTTAAAACCCACAAACCTGCATCAGAGTGACAAAGGAGTAAAAATCAAGATACCTTTTTTTTGAGTTCAGGGAAGTGCTCAGATGTAATCCTGATTTTTCACCCTAAATTCTTATCTGCCTTTGCCTCTCTTTGACTCTTGCTCTCATAACACAGAATTTATACATTCTCCAAGTTTCATAATGTGCTAAGTATTGAGATAAATCCAACAGAAACTCCTTTAAAATCCATAGCAATATACCATGGTCATTTACAGTACAAGATGTAAGGACTCACCATTCTTGCAGAATTATGAGACTTCCAGAGGGGAGATGGAAAGCTCATCTTCTCAGAGACCTTATATAGAGAGGGAATTTGTGATAACAGCCCTTGAGCAAACTGACCATGCATGTCCAGCACCAATGAAGGTTCTGCAAAATGACTTCATGGGGTGGGCATTAAGATAAGGCAATTACACTCTCGAAGAAAGGTTTGTTCTAACAAACTCTGGAGAAATAGGCGTGGCTTTTGTGCCACACCAGAGTTGGGAGGCAATTACAGGAAGCACTTTTCAAGCCTAGAAGGAATATTAGCATTTGTCCTGAGAAAACCATTAGAGACATGATGATTGTCAATCACAACAAAATTGCATGCTTAGTTTCATCCATCTGGGGTTTAAAACATGGGTCCTAGGTAACCATTTTCTTCCTTCTTCAGCTTTCCATCATGTAGAAGATCCACATGCTCAGGTTCTCTATGAAGAAATAGGCATTACATATTTTATTTTTTAATTCTTGTAGACAATGAGAAACTGTTCCTTTTCTGCAGAGGCTGTATATGTCAGGGGCAGACACACTTTCCAAGGACAGTAATTTGATAGCAAAGAGGTCCAGTATGGTCCCCCTTTGCTTAGCTTTCACCTACAAGGTGCAAGTATTTCAAACTTTGTGGCTCTTCTTGGTGATGAAGTTTATCCCTTAATACCAGAGCTGCGCAGTTTGCAATACCTGAATTAATTACTCTGACTGCATAATTGTGTTGACTTCTTATGTGTTTTTGGGAGTAGAGGCAGAACTCCAAGTTGGGTTGGCTACTCCACAGCTTCTACCCAAACTCCAGAGCTGAGAGGTAGCTCAGGAGGTCCATGAGAGAAGGCCAGAATTAGTGCAAAGCAGGTCACGGTAAGACCACTACTTCCAGGGACATCTTAGCTGGCTTTCAACTCAGAAAGTTGGGTAAATTGGTTTTCCTTCAGTTACTGGACTATCACTCTTCAGGATGACAGAAAAGAGATGCCGTGCTTGCAGGTGTTTGATGGAGCTGTGACAATCAGCCTGTCCATAGTAAGTTAGACTTGGAGGTGCTGATTTACACCCTGCCCTGAAATGGAGGATAACTACCATACCCTTGACTCCTAATCAGTGGAGTGGACATGTCAGCCTAGGAATTTCAATATTGAAATCAACAGTCCACATATCCCCTTTGAATCTCCCAGAAATCTGTATGAAGCCAGTTAAACAGCATTGTGGTTTGGGATGCTGTCAGTGTTTCAGACTGTTCATTTTCCAGTTAAAGGGGAGGGGGAAAGGCACAGTAGGACAGTGATCCCTGATCCCAGGCCAAAGCTGCCTTTGGTGCTGGTTCAGTCAAGATGGAGAGAGTTCACAGTCTCATGTCCTGCTCCTGTGCTGCCTGACCTAATTGGTGAACACCTGTGAGATGCCTAAGGATGTGCCCTAGGTTTTCTTGCTGGCTCTTTGTAACCCTTAGGTATTGAGAAGTAACAATTTCCTCTAGGCTGACAATACTGTGTCAAGTAGCATAGAATCCTGCTCAAGGTATTGGGTCCTCCGCTCCATGTCCTCAGAGGTGATCTGGAACAAATGTTCCATGATATTTTGGAATAAAAGGACCATCAAATTGCACTGCATTTATTCTGTTAAAATTACTGAGCTATTTAATTTTTTTTCTTCTTGCATGTTATGTACTTGACATTCAATATTTTGCTTCTCAGGCAAATTCTCAGGCAGATTCTTGAGAGGGATCAAGAATGTGAGGTTCCTGTGTGGGAGAGTAAATGCAGGACCCATTACAGCAGTTTGTGTATCTAGTCACTTAAACCCAGTATGTTGATTCTCACCACTATTGAGAGGGGAAGAACAAGAGGAAACATGAAGCATTTCAGCTCACAGATCATAAGTAAACATGATTTTACAAATAAACTCTTCTTGACATTATACTGACAATGCTGTGTATAATGTACATTGGTTTTGCTTTATTAAGGTCTGTCACATTTGTGTGTGAGAAAGGATAACTGTGTTAAGGAAAGGCATATGCAAACACTAAAATATACAGTGCACTGTTTACACAAGAACATATTATAAAGGTGGTAGAAGGAAGTTTTATCTTGGTGGGGACACTTTTCTTAAGTCTGAGGTTCATATACCCACAAATCTCAAAGCCTAGGCCCTCAGATCTCTCCCAGGACAGGAATTATCAAAGAATTGTATAAATTTTATAGCAAGGTACACAGGCACTGCAAGCAATTTGTCCCAGGTAACAGATGGCAGAGCAGAAACTTGAATTGAGACTTCAATTCAACATGTGTGACCCAAGATTGAGACAATAATATAATTTCTTCTCTGATCTGAACACAACTGCCTTTTTCCATGTGTAGCCAAGTCCCCGTTCCCGAGCTGAATTTCAGTTTTAATTTAAAGCTGTTTCAGTGGGATGAGAAACACCTAGTTTTTTATCTTGGTGCTAATGCATTTTTAAAACACATGATAATTTCTCAGCTAGCCTGGAAAATCCTGTCAGATCATGATCCCAGGACGAAGGATCAGTGCTAAGCAAGGGACATAGGGACAGACAAAAAGATCTAAAGGGCCAATCACAAATACCAGGCCATGCTTGCAACAAGGCGACCTCCATCTCTGAAGTGTGGGTAGAACTGAGGGAGATGGCCACAGATAATGTACCAGCAAGAAAAGTCCAGAGGCAGTAAATCAAAATTAATAGGAGTGGTAGATTCAGAAATAAAGGTATCTCCAGCTTATGGGAAAAGCTAAATATCCTGCACTCCTACCTTCCGTCTCAAGATGTGTAGTAAAAAAAAGTCTGAGAAGTCTTCAGTGAACCAGAATAATGACAAAAAAGTGTATTCCACAAATTAAAAAACCCACAGTGATTCCAAACACAGCTTGTTATCTTGACCCTGCAGCTAATTAAGCAAATGAAAGCCATATATGTGGGAGAAAGACTTTTTGTGGAGCCGTGACTTCAGGAGTTAGATGTAGGAAGGGTGGCAGGTAGGAGCATTGCTGTAGCTCTGTCCAGTAGTGCCTCTGCTTTTGCAGAACTTACGTGGTGCAACAGCAGACACTGGTCTGGCCACACTGGCATGGGGAGTGTGCCTTTGTTCCTCCAGGTGGTAGCAAATTATTTGCTCTTTCATCTTGAACACAAGCTGCCCATGCGTGTGCAAAATGAAATAAGTCTTAACTTCTATTTCATACCAACAGTTATTTAGTTCAGCACCCTTTAAACTTATTTCTGGGGAAATTCAGTTAATTTTGTGTATATGCCTCCTATACTATACTTCAGCTCTCTTTAGAGAGCATGAGCTTTTTCCATTTTTAAAACCTGTTAGCTACTGATTCCATGAACACTAAATGCCATGGTTGGAAGTTATTGCTGCAGGTCTCAGAACAGACTGGGATGGGGAGAGCAACCACAGAATTCTTCCACCAAACCCAAAGGATATCTTGGCTTTTGGGACCTCTTCTCTTTTTTCTTTGCTGTTTTCCTCTGTAATGTGTCAAATTCTGCTTCCTGCCATTTCTAGTCCTACACCCTTCCTGTCTGATTAAGATGGGCAGGAACTAGAACAGAACACCATGAGAGATTTTGTGACTTGCATCTCTGGCAGGTTTCACCAGAATTTTTCTTGGGCTGTTTCATTTGTAATAACAGTATGCATTATGCAGTGGTGTGAAGAAGTAAGCCCAGGAAACCCTGCTGTAAAACGCCCACAATGTCTTGGAGTACTTCTTGAAAGTAATGTATCACTTTCTGAGAGGAAACTGGGGCTAGGAGAATTGCTTTTCCCCTCTTTGAGAAAGCAAAAAGGAATGGCCACCTGAAACGGTAGAAAATGCAACAAGTTTCATGTAATTTTTTTTCACAAAATGACAGCTAGCATTTTATTTTTGAAATCCTTAAAATGTGAAATATGCAGCAGATTAAATACATGTGTGGTATTGCCATGATTCTCTGATCATATAGGTGTCAACAGGTTGAATTTGAGTGCTATAAAATCTTTAGAATCTGAAATTTGGACCCACTCTGACAATAATGGGTTGTTTCTAAGGAGTTTTTGTATGGTATAACCTGTGGATATAAAAATAGGAAAAACTTATTCTCCAGTGTTTTACCATCACAAAAATATTTCTCATTTGGAGAGGAATTTCTGATGGGATTTTTGAGGAAGTTAGCAAAATTCAACAAGGTTTTCTTTAGTCTCATTTCTGTGAAGGATGGAAAACAGAATTGGTACCTCTCTCTTTCTGCCTTACACATTTCATTAATTTTTGGTGGTGCAAAAATAATAAAAAATTCAGAGGATGAGTGATGTAGTAATCTGCTTTCCTGCAGATGGACAATCTCATGAATAAAAAATCCCAAACCAGTAAAAATTACCTGTGGCAATGTTCTTGAGCATTTCCCAGCTTGGAGCAAGGGAGATGAAAGACTGAGTTTCATTGCTAAATTAGTTTTATTTAGAGGGGGGAAAAAAAAAAGGAAGTTTCAGTATTACCAGCTACACTAGTAATAAAAAAACCAATACAATTGCACCTTGAGACTAAAAATGTCTTTTTAAAAACATTTACATGCAATTTTTGGATGTTAGTGAATACAGTTTCTACTATGGAGTCTATGAGACGAGGCTCTACATTTCCTTGGCCTGGTAAACCCATGAGAATTAATTTTCTTTCTTCTTAAGTGCCAGCTCTTGTTTGTGCTGAGCTGTTCAGATTCAAAATCTTCCTGCACTAAGAAAGTCATCTTAATCTGTAAGAAAACTGGCGCCCAGATTATACAGAAACTCTTGGGACCTTACAGGTAATAAGGGTCTAATTTGAAAAGAAATAAATACAGGTTGAAAAAAGGAACCTAGCAGAATGAAATCCTATTTAATTAAAAAGATAACTAAACATCTATAAATCAGTTAAAACACAAAGTCTTCACAACTAATATTAAGAACATGAATATGACCTTTTGATAGAAATGAGACACTATCTGATTATGCATCTGGTAAGCTGAATTACAACACTTAGGAGGTCAGAAGGCAGCTCCTGAAGCGCTCTCTTATGAGATTTCCCCATGTCATCGTGCTTCTCTGTGATGACAAAGCATCTGTAGGAAGCAGAGGAATTCCCCAGTGCAGAGAGATTTGGAGCAGGGTTTAGATCACAGCAGAAAAGCCAGAACATGGCTGTGAGGGGTCATCCCTCTGCAGGACATCATAGCGACAGTGTTTCTTGTTGAAAACAACTTTACATTTCTCTTTGTCATAAGAACGAGGAATGAAAAAGCTGTCAGAGGCAAAGAGGAAGCAAGTGTTAGCTTGAGAGCAATAAAAGATTCAATACTTCAGTCATTATAGCTTGAACGACAACTCAGTGAGACAGGTCAAACCATGGCTAAGGGCAGCTGAGCTCTCTGAGTACCACACAGCTGCAGCTTCCAGAGCCTCAAATGATGCCCTGTGCACTGCACTGTGAA